TATAAACTAACTCGTAACCAATAAAAACATATCGAATAACACATAAACAATTGAACTCCAACTAAGCAATTTTAAGTTGCACGTAAGTAATTAGACACTTATTTTATATTATATACATATTTGATGAGTTAGAAATTTGTCAAGAATAATAAGAAGAATATAGTTCAACAAAAAACAAATGCTTCCCCTTTCTCCCATTCTGATTACGGCTCTAATAGAGATTAGGAATTAAGATTACAAAAGAAAAGTCTATACATTTAGGGCAAAAGGCAACGAGGGACATGACAATAGAGTTAAATGTACATCGGTCTAGACAAAAAACAGTCTTCCAAATAAATTCATTCTCATGTATTTTAACTAAAATACTATCCAGAATATATTTTTTATCAATTGCATTCATTACACTCTAACTTTTTTAATATAACACATTAACCCGGATTTAAACAAATATATCACATTAACCCCCATTTTAATAAAGTCAAATTACGAAGAAAAAAATCTTTCTTGTTTAAGTAATTACAATCACCTCTCAACTATGTAGTTTTTTTACGAAAAAACCCTTCATTTAATAGGTAAATTTGAGTTCGTAAGGGTGGAAATATAAGACAATACATAGTTAAGGAGTAATTGTAATCATCCAATTAGAAGAGGAATTTTGTAATTTGACCTTACTTTGGGGGTTAATCGTAACTTGAACTGTTACATGACGCTTCAATATACTAATGTCGTTTTGACTTCGAACCTGATTTTGACACATTTCTATTTTGATTTTGGCAAAATTCGAAACACGAAAACTGTAGTGCTTTGGGTTAGTTTTATAATTCAACTTAAATCCGCTAGATTGGATGCCGTGTGACAAATTTATGCATGAATGAGTCACATTTTGAATTTTAGATACCTCAATACTTCAAAGTTGTGGGCAATATCCATTGATTCATGTATATAATTCTCGCCCGACATCTAATTTTGGTGATTCAAATTGGATTATAAAACTAACTCAGAATACTGCAAATCCTATTTATCGAGTTTTGCAAAATTTGGAATAAAAAATGATGAAAATCACATTTGAAGTCGAAACGGTATTATTCAAGCTCGAACGACATTTATCACATCCCTAACCGTAATTTGCCCAATAATTAAAAACAAAATCCATTACCACTAATTCACGGGACCACGATCCTACCTAGCCTTAAACTTTGATTCGCCATTTGATCACATTTATTCTTTAATGGACACAAACATCTCCAGGGGAGTTAGTTGATACACCTCGTTTATTTATATTCGGTGGATTTGAACTTTAGATATGATTAAAAATAATTATCTATTAAGTACACATACACATAGATGTGTGTATGTGATTATGTGTAGATTTAAAATTCAAATCAATCCAACGTAAATAACGAGATATGGCATTTAATTTCCCCCATATTTTCATATTTATTATTCACAGTTACTCTTTCGCATCCCCTTAATTATACCCATGCAATGATCTTTAAGATTTTATTAATCTTTGGTCACTTCAATGATTTAATATATTTTATACTTTAATTTATGATCTTTTTCCTCTTTTAAAATAAATAATTTCATTATTTTATATTTGAAGTTTGTACTATATCTATGTGATCATATCCATCAAAGTTATACACTAATTAAGGTTTGTTAAATTATTGAAGATTAGTGTGTGGTAATATTTTGTCTCTTGAAATGGTGGTTGGGGTGGTGGATGAACAGCTAGTTGTCTTAGCGCACAAATCACCATCATATTATATTAATGTGAATGATTAAAGTAGATTAAGGCTTTAGTTTAAACTAATCAAGTCAAGGCCAACAAGTTTTCCAAACATCATTAAGAAAACACTTCCTTAGCTCCAATAATATTGCTTTGTCCATCCACCCCACTAATTACAATATATAAAAAAAAACTCCATTTCCCTGTAAGACGGCGACTTAGAGTGCGTTTGGCTAAACTTATAAGTTGTTTGAAATAATTTATAAAATATTTAAGAGTATATAAACTCTTCTAAAGTGTTTGATAATTTATATTAAAAAGATCTTAATAATTCAAGCAATAAGTTATTTGATAGCAAATAAGATTTTTTTTTTAAATACTTTTTATTTAAAATCTTATTATAAGTAAAAATAGCGTATAAGCTCATTATTCAAACATTTTAAAATTTAATTTTAAAAATAAGACTTAGCAACTTATCAGCTCTTAAAGCAAATTATCAGATGTAAGAATTTACCAGATGTTTAAAATAAACTTAGCTAAACGTGTTTTTGGCCAAATGTGATTGTCAATACTATTTAGGTCGAATTTGTCACACATAATTAACCTAAGACTACTGCAGTTTACACTTATCGTAAGATTTGTGAGCTATTACACGGAAATAAAATTTACTCGGTGCACTTCAAATGATTGCGAATTCTATTGTCAATAAGAAAATAAATAAATAAGACCCGTACAATTAATTAAAAGTTGATTAAAAACATTAATCAAATTAAAAGAAAGAGCACTGGCTTACCTACTCTGCCTCCCCAGACACAATACACATCAATCATAAGGGAAAATTAAAGGTTGCTTTTTGTATTTTATTTGCCCATCAATTTTGCTTATCGACTTTTATTTTCCCACTTTTCGTCCTTTATTATTATATGTGAATCAATTTGCCCCTATATCATATTTATTAGTTGGAAAATACCTTTTCAAGTTCATAAAATATATATGGGTGGAAATTGGAGTAATATTTTTTTTTTTTTTTTTCGTCGAATCAATTCAAAAAAATTATAGTTTTAATAAATATTTCTGATATACTCGTATGGACCGACCCAATGATACAATTAATTGTTTAGAAATAGAGAGAGTTTGGAAAAACTTTTGAAAGGTAAACAAATTATGGTGAAAAAACATTTGAAAGTTATATATTGTACGACCACCCACTAACTAATGGACTATCTCATTAATCTAATGATTTAAAACAAATAAAAGCTCTAATCCAATTTAAAATTGTTTTATAGTGAAAATTTCACTATCTTAATTATAAATAAACCCTCTAACTTATTATTGTAAGGGATTGATGCTTGAGTTCTCTATAATCATATTGACTTGCTTGTTTAAGTGACTGACTTGAGTGTCGTAGGGTTTCGCGAGACTACCCCATGTTTAGTTTATGTGTGCTTAACTCGCAGGTGCAAGACTTTAACATATTATGGATATCAGCATGCTCGAATTAGATCACTAGCTCGCGTGCAGATCGCAATCCTTGTTTAATTACACCAAATAATCATATAGATGATGTCGTGGAAGCGGACCTTTGATTTGTTTGGGTCACGTGGGAATCATTTGCACGGTTGTACCCTCGGGGCAGTTTCAATCCATCTTGTTCGTTCATTCGCCTTAAAGATAGTTCGATTAATTCTAAATGGGAGAGAAAATCCCATCCTTGAGATTCCACTTTTTCGATTTTTGCAATTTTTTTAATTGAAAGTGGAACATATATGATATTTCAATTCTTTTTATCTGACTTCAATTTTCCCGAAAACTGGATTTTTCCCGAAATTTCTTTAGTAATATTAATATTATTATGCATTTCATATTTTAGGTGAATACAAAATACAATCTTTGAATTATGCCAATTTCGATTCAATTTTATTTTTCTTTTTAACAAGAAGCTTTCTCATTCCAATTTTTAAAATTACAATTTCTAATTTCATTCGATTTTTTTGAGACATAACTGGAATCAGTTTACCCTTCTGATTATTTTTTCAAAAGTGCTAATTTTGATTTGATTTATTCGATTTCGATGAATTATTTTTTCATAAGTGCTAATTTTTATTCGATTTCTAACCGTTATAGGATATGAAAGAAAAGAAGGAAAGAAGACAAAAGATCAGAAGTTGTAATTTATACCATTTTGCCTCCATGGTTAGATAATTTATTTTACTAGACTAAATGACACAAAGTTTGGATAATTAGTTATTTAAAACACATTAGAATGAGTACTACAACATTAATTTTATTTATTCTAGTTCATTTCTAAGCAATATTAATTAGTATTTTCTTTTAATTGAAAAAACAATGAATTGGTGTACTTCCTTAATTGTCCAAAAGTGTGGCTTTCTATTTTTAGCAGCTGAAAAGATAGAGCAAAGTTATGGCATGACAGTCATCGTTAAACCTCTAGTCCAATCAGCATTCAAGTGACTACTAATGATCTAACTATTCATTCCAAATTTGGCAAATTGTTTTTCGATAAGCAATTTTCAAATTTGGCAATTATTTAATGAAATAATACTACTATTATTTTGGAAAATTAGCTACAATATTTTCATTACATTTTACTTTTTCTTTTTCAAGCTTTTTCACATTTGCAATAAATTTATCAACTCAAATGAATGTAGACATGAATACAAATAATCGTTCATTTTTATTTTACTCAACTAGTCCACATGTGTATATTTCCATTTTATTAAAAAAAAAAAAACTTGATACATTGATAATATGGTCTATTACAGTCATCTCTGATGTAAGGTCAAATTATGAAAAAGAAAATCATCATGTTTGGGTAATTACAACCACAACACTCAACTATGAATTTCCTTGCACATTTGTCCTTATGGTGTCAAATTCAACAAAATTTTCTAGATTCTGTGGAATGTTCTTTAGTTTGTACTTGTTTTGTGCAAAAATGTCATTTCTGATGCATCACAATCTGATGTTTACAAGCCAAGAGACACATCTTATGATCATCTTGTTTCAAAATGTGAAGCTGGGTACAAACCGGAGAATATTCCACTAAATTTGACACCGCAAAAGTTAACATATAAGAATATTAATAGTTGATGAATAATTATGAGTATCAAACATAAGATATTTTTTCGTAATTTAACTATACATGAGGGTCGCAAGTCGGGGTTGACCGTAGTTTACCTTAATGATATGAAAAAAGTGAAAAGGAAATAATAAAAAGAAAAGGAAGAGAAAAAGACAAAAGGGGATTGAGTGGACAGTGGAACAGAGGAACAATTCCCTATTCTTTATCCATGAGCAGCAACAAGTAGCGATACGACTATTATTACTACTAGATTCCACCATTTTTTTTCTACAATGGAACTTCACGATTCACCATTTCCTCTACTTTCTCTCTCCTCCACTCACCTCCTTCTAGAGAGAGAGACACTCTCATCGGAAGACTCCTCCTCCCTAAACACCACCACCACCACAACACACCTTCCTTAATCAAAATGCCCTCTCAACCTAAACAGGAACCAACCCCCCGCCCCCCTGCTCACCCGCCCTATGCCGCCGCCGATGTTCTCATGGATTTGGATCTCGACCTCGACGGCTCCTGGCCCTTGGATCAGATCTTCGCTGCGGCGGCGGCCGCCAGTCCTGTGCAGCCGTTTCTCCTCTCCAATTCCGAGCAGCCTTGCTCGCCGCTTTGGGCGTTTTCCGATGATAATACCAACGGGAATTTCGTCGCCGGCGCTGCTTTCCGGCTTTCCGACTCCTCCAGGATCCTCACCTGTATGGCTTTTGCTCCGATGATACTCTTATGTTAGGGATAAAGTTCTTCGAGTTTCCCAAAGACTTTTTCAATACTTTTCCTTTTTCTTCATTCTTCTTTGCTGGGTCTTATGAATTCCGAATTTGGCTATTGCTAATATGAACAGCATGATTTTGATTTGTTTCTAGTTGATTCTGTACTGCATCTCAATGGAAAATCCTGTATTTTTGTTTTAATTTTATTTTTAAACTTGCTGAGAGCATCTATGGTATGGTAGTGTTTTAGATTCAATTCACAACTTTACGGCTGTAAAATTAGGGTTCCTCTTTTGAATTGACGATGCTTTCAGTCTAAAATGGTAAGATTGTCGTTTTGTTTATTGAAAGATGGGGATTGTTCGAATTTCCATAACTATTGGGAAACAGATAATTAGGAGCTGATGCTGAAGTTGTTCACTAAATTCGTACATCGCAAACCATAGATATTTCTGAAAATATAAAATTACCGATTCTTTCATCTGACCGTATTTTTCCAGATAAGACTGGTTTTCTTGAAATGCTAGTTTCTCATTTCTTATGTAAATGTTTCACTTAACCATTGATTCCATTTAAAAAAAATCATATTTATGCATGGCATTTTTGTAACAGATGCCAACAATCCCGATATGGAAACCGAAAGTGCATTCGTGAATAACGAAAAAAAGAAGCTGCCCTCTCCTTTTATGGGACTGATGCCTATCGACAGTCTAGACGGTTCTTGTATGATCAAGGAAAGGATGACACAAGCCCTTCGTCATTTCAAAGATTTGACCGAGCACAATATCTTGGCTCAAGTTTGGGCGCCTGTAAAAAACGGGGGGCGTTATATGCTCACAACTTCGGGCCAGCCCTTTGTTCTCGACCCAAACAGTAGTGGGCTCCACCAGTACAGGTTGATCTCTCTCATGTATATGTTCTCTGTGGATGGAGATGCCGACGCAGATCTTGGTCTTCCAGGGCGTGTGTTTAGGCAGAAGTTGCCAGAGTGGACGCCTAATGTGCAGTACTATTCGAGCAAAGAGTTTCCGAGGCTGAATCATGCTTTGAATTACAATGTTCAAGGGACTTTGGCTCTGCCTGTGTTTGAGCCTTCTGGGCAGTCTTGTGTTGGTGTTGTGGAGCTGATAATGACCTCGCAGAAGATCAATTATGCTCCGGAGGTTGATAAAGTCTGCAAGGCGCTTGAGGTTAGTTTTGAGTTCCTTTCGTTTCTTGATTTCTGTGCCAGTATTTAGATATTCGTTAGTTTTGATTAGTTTCATTTATGGAGGATTAGGAATTGCTGTGTTGATATATGTTTGGCTATATTGTTATTATCTTCGTGACAATGAAATTCTATAGCTGCTCTTTTTTTTTTCTTTTTTTTTCCTTTTCTTGTTTCTAATATAATTTATTGTAATTAATGACAATATTTATTTTTGTAATGTAATCGATAACTAGTTGATGTTCGACCAGACACTAGCAAGCTATTATTCTGATTATTTTGCTGATTAGAATTTGTTTTATTAGAACCTGCAGCATATTACGTATTAAAATATCAGTTTATTCGTGAACTATTAGTGAGAGCTGCTTATTAGCTAGGCTCATTCGACATACGTAGTTACGATCTTTTGCTTTTAACTACTGCACAGTTTCAAATTGCCATGGATTTGTTTATTTTATGTATGTAATATCACTACTTAGAAGGTTATAGGAAGATACACTACTGTGCACAGTTTCAGATTGCCATGGATTTGTTTACTTGCTATTTAGAAGATTATATTAAAATACAGTACCGTATGCAATTTTTATCAACTTACATTTTGAGTCTGTTAACCGAATTTGCTCGATTTTTAGTATTTGCTAACTGATGTTCTTTTTTCTTCCCCCTTCTTTTGCAGGCAGTAAATTTGAAGAGTTCCGAGATACTGGATCATCAAAGCCCACAGGTAAAAATAGACGCCACTGTTGATATAGATCATTATGTTAAATCACAAATAACACGTCATTCTTATTTCAACAGATCTGCAACCAAGGTCGCCAAAACGCACTAGCAGAAATCCTGGAGGTAATTTCAGTGGTGTGCGAAACTCACAAACTGCCGCTGGCCCAGACGTGGGTCCCGTGCAGGCACCGCAGCGTACTGGCAAACGGTGGCGGTTTCAAGAAAACCTGCAGCAGCTTCGACGGGAGCTGCATGGGCCGCGTCTGCATGTCGACAACGGACGTGGCATTCTACGTGGTGGACGCCCACATGTGGGGGTTTCGAGAGGCGTGCGCGGAGCACCACCTGCAGAAGGGGCAGGGTGTGGCCGGGAGGGCATTTGCGTCACACAATTCTTGCTTCTGTCCGGACATTACGGAGTTCTGCAAGACAGAGTACCCGTTGGTGCATTACGCACGAATGTTCGGGCTGAGGAGTAGTTTTGCTATTTGCTTGCGGAGCAATCATACGGGAAATGACGAATACGTCCTCGAGTTTTTCCTGCCTCTGAATTTGGAGAGTGATGAGGACCAGCGGAACTTGTTGGACTCGCTCTTGGTGACGATGAAGCAGCATTTTGGGAGCTTGAGTGTTGCTTCGGGGAAAGATTTGGACCACGAGTGGAGATCTATTGAGGTTATTAAGGCGTCCACTGCTGATGAGAAACTTAATTTGGTACCTGATACCTCTCCACCTAGGCTTTCTTCTTCTCTGCCGAATGGGGAAACTTTGCACCTCGATGCTTTTGAGAAGGTGGTGATGTCTGAATTCAATGCTACAAATGTGAAAAGAAATGGTAGTGTCGGTGGTGGTCCCACTGAAGTTCAGAATGCAACTGTTGTTGAGGCGAAAGAAGTAGGCAAGAAAACTGAGAGAAAGAGGGGGAAGGCTGAGAAAACTATTAGTTTAGAGGTTCTGCAGCAATATTTCGCTGGTAGTCTTAAGGATGCTGCCAAGAGTCTTGGTGGTATGTGAATTCTCTCTCTCTCTCTCTCTCTCTCTCTCTATATATATATATATATATATATATATATATATATATATAATGATAAACGTGCGCCTATCTTACTAAGAACATGCACTACTATCTTGCAAGTAATCTAACTTTACCTATTCTCATGCAACAACAACTAGCTACTTTTGTTAGACTCTTTCTACTAACTGATGCAACGTGGTTAATCCAGAACTTCATCCGTATGTGTGTAAATTTCTGTAAAATAATTTGCAGTTAGCGGTAGAAAACTAACCAAATTTTCTCTTCATTTTGTTCTCTCTTACTTACAGTTTGCCCTACTACAATGAAGCGTATCTGTAGGCAACACGGGATTTCTCGCTGGCCCTCACGCAAGATAAACAAGGTTAATCGTTCTCTTACAAAGCTAAAGCGTGTGATTGAATCCGTACAAGGTGGTGAAGGAACATTCAGTTTGACTTCTCTGGGTACAAATTCCATCCCCGTCGCAGTCGGTTCAATTTCTTGGGCTGCCAATAATTTGAACGGACCACTGGAATTTCACGAAGACAAGAAAGATGTTGCTATTATTAGTAACTCCCCACCAGTAGCCGACGAACAGGTGGACCCCACAAATCATAATATTCGTGAAGGCTCGAAAAGTAGGAGCGGATCGAGAGAAGAAGAAAGCACAGGCACCCCAACCTCACAAGGCTCTTGCCAAGGCAGCCCGTCTGTCAGAAACGAAAGAGGCGGGCCCCACGAGCCGCCCCCTGTGTGTCACCAAACGGGTGAGATTAACTTATCCTCAGCATTCTTGATCCCTAACAACAACAACAACAACTATATAACAACAGCAGCACCACCACCACCGCCCGACGAGCCTTTCGGAGGAATGCTATTAGAGGATGCTGGCAGTTCTCACGACCTGAGGAATTTGTGTCCAGCTGGCGAGCCGCTATTCGATGAGTACAGCTGGACCAGACAGCCTTGTACGGACACATTACCGGTCAAAGATTTTCCCGTTGACCAACATCGTATGCCTCGATTTTCCGCCAGGCCTGAAGCGAAGACCATCACTATAAAGGCAACATACAGGGAAGACATTATCAGGTTTCGGCTTCCGATTGATTCTGGTATTGTGAAGTTGAATGATGAGGTGGCGAAGAGGCTGAAGTTGGAGATGGGAACTTTCGATATTAAATACCTCGACGATGATCACGAGTGGGTTTTAATCGCCTGCGACGCGGACTTGCAAGAGTGCATGGATGTATCTAGATCGTCCGGTGCTAGCAATATAATCAGGCTGTTGGTGCACGATATTATGGCCAATCTTGGGAGCTCTTGCGAAAGCTCCGGCGATTAAGAGAAACAATTTAGATATACATGATTGATTACACACAGGTAAGTTGTTAGATAATTCTTGCTATGCTAGGTTGGGTTTTAAGTGTAATTGTAAATTTTGTTTATTTATTTTTCTTTCCCTAAGGAAGTCTTTTGTAGTGCAACTTTTATTTTGGTGAGAACTGTGGATATTTATGTTATGTCTATTTAGTGTTTCGAAGATTTAAATAACATGTTTAGAAGTGTTAAGACCATCTGCTGGAAGGTCTTTTGTACTATGTAGGTAAAGAGTATGCAATTATCGTTGTAAGAATGAACTACTTGCCACATTTTTTTTTTTTTTTTTTTTTTTGGGAGTAATTGGTTGTCTGCTATTTCTAGTAGGTTTTCTTGCTTCAGAGTTCAGCTGGTGAAGTTCACCAGGAAGATTTTGACAGTTTAATAAACAACTATTTTAAATGTCTTTCTTTGGTATACTTTTTGAGTATTTAGAATTCCAGTAAAAAAGAAAAAAAGGATAAGTTGTTTAAGAAAAAGAAAAAGGATATATCAAATGGGATTGGGAGGCTTATCTTGCTGTCAAGGTATCTGAATTCTAGCATGACAATACTCACCTAGATTTATATATAAATAGCAAGGTTGTAAAAGGCGGGAATCGGGTCGGAGGTGGCTAGGCACCGCCTCATAATTAATCGGAGCGATGGTGATTAATTGATAATAAATCAGTTTTTCAAATTTAATGTAATATATCTCTAGATATTATGTGTAAATGCTCAAAACTTATATAAAAAGATATTTATACATAATTATATCTCAATCATTTATATATCCTAATCACATAATATAACTTTCAATAATAATAAGATTATAATATAATAAAAATCCTTACAAAATACAAACAAAAACGAAAATCTTCTTCATTAGAAAAATATGCTTGAATATTGTAAATCATATATCATTGGGTTCTTTAAAAATAACAATTAACACAAACAAAACAAAGCATAAACTCATTCTTATTAAAAGTCCAACTTTGTTTTCTGGGCTAATTAGAAATAGAAAAAGAAAAAAAAAACGATTTTTGACGAATTTTTTTGACCCGCCTTGAAGGTTTGACCGCCTCAAACCGTCTCATAGACCAAAACTGTTTTTTAAACATTTATATTAAAATCGTATAGGTTTTGGACCGTCTCCGCCTCGGAGATCGATTAATCGGCCGCCTCGTCCGATTTTTAGGACACTGATAATTAGAGGCATTGACTAAAGAAAATGTACAACTACCACAACTAGATTTAGGGTTGGGACTAGATTGGTTTTTACGCAAGAGTCGACCATCATACTTTTAGGTGGATAATATTCTTTTAAGTGACACACTGAATTGTGTCGAAACATTTGACCAACTCATTTATAATGGGTATGTTGATGGTTTACGATATTATCAATATTCGGTTGACCGATAATTATCGGTCAACCAACTATATTGATAAAGTTTTATTAAAAAAATATCAAAGTTGTAAAAAGTGGTAATCGGGTCGGAGGCGGTTAGACACCGACTCATGATTAATCGGTGCGGCGGTGATTAATCGACGATAAATCGACAATAAATCGGTTTTTAAAATTTAAATAGATATTATTTATAAATATTCAAACATATATAAAAATGTATTTAAACATAGTTATATCTCCATCAGTTATATATCCTAATAATATAATAAAAATTTTATAATAATAAGACAATAATACAATAAAAATTGTTATAAAATACAAATAAAACGCAAATCTTTTGAATCTAAATATGTTCTTGAACATTACAAGTATATATCATTAGGTTCTTTGATAATAAAAATTAACATAAACTTATTTCTTTTTTATTAGAATCCAAACTTTTATTTTGAATTAGAAAAAAAAAACCGATTTTTGACCGATTTTTAGCCGGTTTTGCCTCCAAAGTTTGACCTGCCTCTAAGATATGACCACTTCAGACCGTCTCGAACCGCCTTACAGGTGAAAAACCAAATTTTCAAACATTTACACCAAAATCGTAAATGTTTGGAACCGCCTCCACCTCGGAGACCAATTAATCGGCCGCCTCGGTCGATTTTTAGAACACTGAAAAAAATATAAAATAAAGGGTGTGATTTTTTAAATGATCATGACTAGTAGTTTACATAACTTTTTTCTCATTTTTTTTAGTAAGCTAGGTGGATATATCATATATCCACCAACCAATCCATTTCAGAATCAAATATTCAGTTGACAAATATCAACCGACCCAAAATAATTGGGTCAATAGTGATTTTCAAAATTGAGCAAACTTAATTTGTCGAATTGGTCGATTCTTAGATCGATAATCGACCAACCCAAATCAGTGTCAGTCTTACCCACAACAATAATCATATTCTTCGTTTACAAACTTTCTTCATAGCAGCAATTACCTTCTTGTTGTTTTGATGTTCGAAGCTTTATATTTATATATAATACTAGTGAGATAATATTATATTCCAAATATATATCTAGTGTGTCAGTATCCACTCATAAGTTTTATTCTATAATACGTTATCAGAACGAGGTTTGTTCATGAGGGATTCACTATTTCAGTTGTTTACACAAAAAATTGTAAAATTTGTCGTTCACCGGAAAAAGAAAAAAAAAAACTCAATCCAAATGTAATGAAATAGCTAGTATCGAAATAAAATTAGAAAACCAATTCTTAATTCAGGAATAGGAGATGGGACAACATGGAGAGATACAAAGATTTTAAAAGCAACTGCTTAGCAATCACCATATCTTCAATTCTACTACGCTTTAAATTAAATAAAAATAAAAACTAAAAATACATAACAAATAATAAAAATAATATTTAATAGGGGCTAAACATGATTATTAACATGGCCATTTTTATGTGTGTCAATTTTTTCAGACAAGCCAATTTCTCCTTGGGCTTTTCTCTCTGCCATCATTCTCTTTGTTGATCTGTAGAATGTTGCATATAGCAATAACTGGGCCAGCCCAAGCAAAGATCCCATTCCATTTGGAGCCTACATTAATTAATTAATTAATTAATTAATTAATTAATAATAAATAAATAAATTCTAAATTTCTAAATTAAAAAAAAATATACTTACAACAATGAAAATATCGAAACGGATGAGAGCATAAGCAGTCCAACTAATCCCATTTAGGAAAGAGAATAGAGAGAGAAAAAACGGCATGTACTCCACACTTTTCGTCGTGATCACCATTTTCTGCATCCAAAAATAAAATAAAAATTATTAGATTAAAAATATTTAAAACAACTGAAAATGATAAACACAAGACGGCTTTTAGTAAATGTAGGACACTTTTTTAATTTTACGTTCTTAATTTCTGAAGAGTTAAATTTGGAAGTTAGATTCTGTCTCTAGTGTTAGATTTGTATGAATTTATTGCATCAAGAAACAAAATGACAATCAGCGTCTCTATTTACTAATTAAAACTCGTCGTGTGATATTCTTTCGAAAATAACGTCGTTGTAAATTGAAAAAAGAAAAGAAAAAATGATTTGACAAAAATTAGATGCGATTTATATTAACTTTTGAATTTTTAAATGAAGTGATCTGTATTTACTAAAACACGTCCTGTATTTATCACCGCGCAGACCACGTGTAAGATATAGGATGCATGCATTAGGACAACAAGTATAACTATACGTACCATGACGGACAAAGGAGCAGCATACATCATAATATTGCCGACCATGCAGATGCTGCCGACGACAACCGACCGGAGTTTGGTGGTGTGGGCCAGAGTTAGGACAAGAAGCGCTAGCACCGCCATGAAAACGCACTCCGCCACCACTATCACCACCAGCCTCAGCCGCTTCTTCTTGTCGGAGAATATCAAGAATAGAGACAAATAAACTATCTCTATAACAAACCCGGTACCGTTAATTGTGACAACAAGTGTGCTGTGGGGGTGTACCAAAGGCAGTCCGTATAGTACCCAAAGCCCACAGTTGATAAATGTGGCTAAGTATGGAACCGGTGAGTATTGCTCCACTGATTTTTTCTTCCATATCCGATAAAACGTTGGCCTAATTAATATATTATTAATTAATTATTATTTTTTCTTTTCAATTGTTTGGATAAATAATATATATAAATAGAGATAATATAATTAATTAATATGGAGAATTGAGGCTTACACTGGGGACAAAAACAGTATCAGGGCTATGATGTTTCCTGAAAATTAATAAACAAAATCAAATTACTTGTAATTATATCTTTTAATATTACAAAAAAAAAAAAAAAAAAAAAACAGTTTTTTTAATATGATATTATGTCACACATTATTGTAATGAACAATATTCAGGGCTATGATGTTTCTTGAAAATTAATGAACAAAATCAATTAGAATACTCATGATATCAGCTTTTAATATTACAACAAATTAAAAAATAAAAAAAAAAACTAAATAATAAATGACACTATTTTTTCAATGTATTCCAAATAAATTAAAGACTATTCCTAGCTACTAATTATTTTCCCAGCACCGCCTTACGATCAGACGTATAATAAATCTACACACAATCACACACACGGTCTGAACTGGAAAGAACTTGCAATTTTTTTAGATATAATATTATATATATATATATATATATATATATATTTTAAAGAGTAGAAAATCAAGAAATTAACTGACCTATAACACCAACAATAGTACGAGCGTCGTCTTTAGAAAACATGGTGATTGTATATATATATATATTACACAGAGAGAGAGAGAGAGAGAGAACCCTTTTAAAATTTGTAGAGAGAGAAGAAGAAGAATGGGAAAGAAGAGAAGAAATGCATGCTTATGTTACATACTGATATGCTGTATATATAGGCAAAAGGAAAAAAAAGGCAAGAGGCACCGTTTGGCTTTTGTATATTACATATGCATTCAAAACTTTTTTATTTATTTATTTATTTTTATTTTTATTTTTAGTTTTTAATTTTCTGTCACCTGCATGACATGTATTTGCTGGTGACACACAGAACAACACATGGATACATATATTCATCAATTTTTATTCATTTTTATTTTTTTAATAAAAAAATTAAAAGAAAGAAAGTAAATCAAATTAAATGTGGCACTTCGCTCAAGGTTCTCAAAATCCTACCTATTGAATTAAATAATAATAATAATAATAATAATAATAAATAAATAATTAAAGCTGAGGCAGAAAACTGGAAAAGATGATAACTGAAGATTACTTATTTCATGGCTTTATTTTTTATTTATTTATTTATTTTTTCACACTCACTTAAATATCTGCACTGAATTCAAGTCAAAGTTTATCCTTATCCAAAGGAGGTAGATAGATATACATATACACATATATGTATATATATATATATGTGTGTATTTTTTCTCTTGTGTGTGTGTGTGTGGAATGCAATACACAAATACAGTGCAGTTATTTTAGGGTGTCGTTTTGTGATGACATTTAATTTGGGTAATCAGATTCAGTAAATTGAATATAATGGATTACAGGGCATGCATCAGCTAACTATATCTATTAATTTCAAAGACAAATTTAATTATTTTATTGGTGCATTTAATTACACCTTTTTGGAATCTCTCTCTTTAATTAAAATAAATAAAGGTCTTTTTTTTTTTTTTTTTTTTTTTTTTTTAATATTGGATTGTGCCATAGATATAATAAAGATAAGAAAATATGAGATATCAATGTAATCAAATATATAAGAATGTAATATAAATAACATTTGTAATCTGTTATCGGATTTCGTATCTTATATATAAAAGAAGTTAACGCCATGTAACTATGAGCAAATCTAATGCCATCTTTGTAATAATTTTTATTTATTTTTTTTCTATTAATTTTCTTGGCTTTGTTTTTCTTTCTTATCTCAATAGAACGTTTTGCCACTTTACCTTTTATTCCACATTTTTTTTCATATCATTTGTTAATTATTACATTTTTTTTCCTACTAATTTTCTATTTTTATCTTTCTTAATCTCAATGGAATGATTGTCCATTTTCTTTATTATTCTATATTCTTTGTTATTCTAATTTCTTTGTGATTGACATCCTTTTGATTTATTTATTTTTAATATTTTTGGTTGTATTAATTGCTTAATTTATTTAACAATTAATTCCATATTATGACAATTAAGTTTATAATCTTTTGTCAAGTAGATTTGTGTGAATGTTATTGTTAGTGTAATTTAAATATCCCTAATACATCTTTTTAGAATAGTGTAATATATTTCTCCTTATAATCTTTATTGTCGTGTATTAAATGATCTAATTTATTCACCTATCTCACCTATATATGCATGATCAAACTTGAGGTATTTTAATGATCAAAATTTTAAAATTCATTGCTTTAAATTTTATTTTAATTAAAAATTACTTATTTTGTGTTATTTTCTATTAAAAAAAAAAAAGTTCGAGATCACCAACCCGAACCCTTCTCGTAAATTTATTATGCACCATTTGAATTCTCAACCCCCAAATAATTCAATTTCCACCCTCATCATATACAATTAAATATCTCTGGTTCGACACATATTAATAAAATGTAATTATATATATTGCGGTATTATAATTTACGGTATTATAATTTACGTAGAATTATAATTGCGGTATTATTGTGGTATTATAATTTAGGTGTATATATATATATATATATATGTATATGTATATAATTCTACGTAAATTATAATACCGCAATAAAAGTTTTGGTAATTCGGTATGTAATTTGTTCATACGAAACTAATCTTTTAAATAGGTGTTGTTTGAGAAGGTTGATGATATTAATAAGATGGATTGAAGTGGATATATATGATTATATTGTATTGTCTAAGATAATGTAACATGTGATTACTTATGTTTGAAGTTTATGATTATACAATTGTTGAACTAAATATCATTCATATATGTATGATTGAATCCGGACCCATTTTCGATTACTTGTTTTAAACTTAAAACACCAATATTTGATACACCATAGTTATATTGTCTATCAAATTCTATATATTCTTGTCAATCCCCCAACGATGCCAAATAATATAATGGGTTTTTTTTAAGCTTAAGAAACTTTATCAAATTAATGATATCAAATTTGCTTTTGGACACTAGCAAAAATAGGAGTTCAAGTTTGGGGGCCGAATGCATTAAGAAAATTCTGAGGGGGGGGGGGGGGGGGGGGCCCTTAAAGCCATTGGAAAAATTTTTTTAATATTTCTAGTATAATTAATAGATATTTAATTTATAGATTTGGAAAATGTTGCCTCTCGGGCCATATGCTTGCTCTGCCACTGCCACTGCTTTTGATGTTTAATTTATAGGATGAAAATGTAATGCCTCTATATATATCATTATATATTCGTTGCGGCCCATCGAATCAACGGTCGAAAATGCTTTGTAGGGTAAAGTCTTTGATGTACCCGGAAATTCAGACATTGTATAAGGATTTTTTTAAAATTTTTTTGGCAAATTACGGTCACCCAACGAGGTATGGTCGAATTCCTTTCATGTTTGGGTAATTCCAATCACATATTATATTGCACATCTATATTTACGGTGTTAAATTTACCTACTGAAGAAGTGGATTATCATACGATATACATAGTTAAGAAGGATGATTGTAATTACCTAAACATGAGATTTTTTTTTAATTTTATTATACCTCATGGGTGTGTAGCAGTAATTTAATTTTTTTATAATAGATTCAAAGAAATTAAAAAAGAGTGGGAGAAAATGGTGTTTGAGTGACAGGTTGGTCATGGTAACAACGTGATATGTGAAGAAGAGGAGCATCCAAATTGTGTCCTCTTTTTTGACTTTTTTACTTATAAAAACACTATTTTGTAAAATATATAAGGGAGAAAAATAAAAAGAGAGAGAAAAAAATATTTATCCAGCATCTAAGAAGGGCTTTATTTGCCTTTCGGTGGGGTTGTGCCAATTCTTACTTTTGAGGATACTAGGTTGACAAATTGGCAACTTTTACAACAATTTTGGCCTGAGTTTTTTTTTTTTAAACGGGGCAATTTGGTGAATACCCTTGAGCGGTAAATGGTAATACTTTTTTGAAGGCAGGACAGCCATATATTTCGTATTTTGCTAAAAGTTTAGACTGACAATACATTATTATCCTCCAATTCATCTGTTTTGAAGTCACATCCACTAAAAAAATGACATTTCTTCAACTATTCTGCCTCTCCCTGTTAGTCACATGCCGCCGCCGCCTTATTTCCGCCACAACATCATTAGAAAAATGTTATTTTCATCTAAGATATCTCTATTTTCAATCTAAATTCTCCAATTAAACTGTCTATTTACAATCTAAATTGTCTATTTTCAGTCTAAACTATCCCGATGAACTTTTAGCAAATTCAAAATATTCTGACATATTATTAGCTGTAGTCTATACAAAATATTCGAGGGAGTTTTAGCCGATTTTCCTTTTCTATTTTCATCCTTAGAAGAACGAACTGATCCACTATATAGAGGTGCACTCGACAAATTTTCATTATCGTACAATAGCCTATAAAGCACACTAGACATAAGTCACATGTAACAAGCAATTGCATGTAAGTGTGCAAGATTACACATTATACCTATATGGTGTTTTTTTACTGAAAAAATAAATAAAAAGATAAATGTGGCTAATAATGCCTATACATTTGTAGTTGCTAAAAACAAAATATGACAAATTAGAGGCATTATTGATAAATCACATTTAGTAACCAAATTTTATCAAATAATTAGTTACCCGTCAGAGAATTAATTCAATTCAATATAATTTAAGTTAGAGGGTGTTTGGCTAAGCTTATAAGATGTTAAAAGGAGTTTATAAGATGTTTTAGAGCTTATAAGCTCTTCCAAAGTGTTTGATAAATTTTAAAAAAAAGATCTTAATTTTTTTTAAATAAGTTGTTGGAGACCAAATAAGATCTTTTAAAATAAGTACCTCTACCCCACATTTTTTATTTAAGATCTTATAACGAGTAAAAATAGGAAATAAACTCATTATCCAAACACTCTAAAAATTAATCATAAAATAAGATGTAACAGCTTATCAGCTCTAAAAACATCTTATCAGACGTAAGAGCTTATCAGCTGTTTAAAATAAGCTCAGTCAAACACCCTCTCAGTCCCATCAATTAAATCAAACAAGGTCATGGTAGCTTGTCTACAGAAATCACAACTTTTTTTCCAGCAAGAAATCACAATTTTACGAATGTCGCATATAGTAGACTTTCATGATATGCTTTACGAATTGTATCAAGTTAATATTGATATAGGAATGTCAACGGAGCGGGTATAAGATAATCTGCCAAGTTCGCCCCACCCCTTTTAGAACCATCGGAATTCGGAATCCATACCGCGCGGTAAATACCCATAAATTGTACATTTGTGATTGCATGTCCCTTCCTTAATTAAAAAGAAAAATTAAAAAAACATTAAAAATAAAATCACTAGTACAGAACATCCATCAAGTTAGCCTGATCAACATTAGGATTATAAAAGAGAGACATTTTTTTCCCACACCTTCAATATCTCAATTGCAGTACAAATAAACAATAAAATAATAATAATAAGAAAGGAAAATAAAAAATAAAAAAATTACACAACGGCAACCCAAACGCCTGTGGAACAAGAAGCCTTGACAAACTACAACTTGAAACCAAACCATTCACAACCTCCTACGTTAAAAAAAAAAAAAATACTCGTGTACAAGAAATCCAGAAGAAAATCCAGAATTAACTTCTAAACCCGAAAGCAGACCACTTCTTCGAAGTTGTTTCTTTCTTGGTCCTTTTTGAATTAGGATCGATCAGATTTTCGAGGGATTTAGCCTTCTTGTTACGAGACCTGCCAGCTTCTTTCAATAGTTCAGCTAGCCTTTTCTTTTCATCGTCGAAATCCGGATTTGCTGTTCCGAGTTTCTCTTCTCGCAGTTTAAGTACATACTCCAGAATCTCTATTGCATCTTCGATTCTGTATAGTTTCAAACGAAGATTTATCAAATCTGGTTTTCCCATCAAAAGCATTGTACTAAAGGAAAACTAATATAATAACTGAGTGCTGCGAAACATTTCAAAGCAACAACTTATTGAAAGGGTTTTGGTGGATAGGCGAAACTCTATCAATGTTCAAATGGGGTGGGACTTCCTCAAAAAGGTTTGGATCCGCAAGTGTTCAAAACGCTGGGACCCTTTATACTTCAAAAGATGACAAGGGGTGTGTAGCTAAGTGGAGCTCGAAATAGAAATTCGAATTTGGAGGGCTCAAACTCGAGCTCTATGAGTTACAAGTCAAGATCCACGAGCCTATTCTTTTGGAGCTCAAGTTCAAACTCACAAGCTGCCTCACGAGCTTTCAAACAGTTAAAAATGAGTTCAAACTTGTCTCCTCGGACAGCTGGAGCTCGTGAGCTAAAACAAGAAACTCAAATTTGAGCCGGTTTATTTCATTTAAACCACTTACAGTGCAATTTGCCGTAAGATAACACACACACACACACACACACACACAGACACACATATATATATATATATATATATATATATATATATATATATATAGCACTTAGATAAAATAGTTGTATAAAAATTCAGTATTTGGACTATCGGGGTAGATCCTATTCTTGAGGTTTGAGCTGTTTGCAAAAAATCCTTTCATTACATATAGCGCCCCTAAGAAATTTGTTTCTATCGTGCATTTGAAAAAAAAAACCGCCAAAGAGTCATTTTTAATATGTCAAGGAGCTATCTGTAATTTAGAAACTCACAAGGGTTTCTTCGTAAATAGTCCAAATCTCAAGGGTAATGTCTATAGTATACCCTTTTATCTATTTTATCGTCAAGTGAACAAACAAAATCTTGGTCCCTAACAGTAAAAGAAATATTTGGGAGTTTCCTTTGCTAATCTTAAAATATGAAAAGAAACTCAAGTTAGAATCTTAATAGATGATTTTTACCTTCCCATAGCATCATAGGTAGCGGCAAGATTGCTATACACACCGAGAGTGTCCTGATGGCACGGGCCGCACTCCTGCTCCAGTATCTCTCTAGCTTCCTCAAACAGCTCCGCGGCCTCGTCAATCTTGAACAACTGCACGCAAGCCAATCCCATTTGGTTCAGCACAACTCCAAAAAATGCAGACTTTCTTTCTCCACTCCCTCTCAGTTTCGCCACAGCAGTTTCGAACGACCCCCTCGACTCTTCATACCTCCCAACCATATAAAACATCACACCCGTCCTCGCTTCAATTCCAGCTACCGTACTCTGCTGACCTGGCTTATCCTCCAACAGCTTCATAGCCTTTTGGAGTAGCTTCAAAGCTTCTTCGGGTTCGTTAAACAGCTCGTAAATAGCCGAAATTTCAGTTAACCCGCTAGCAATCTCTTCTGGGGTTGTTCCAGGTACGGGTTTTCCATAAATTCTCAAGGCATTTTCACAGTAAGATCGTGACTCTCTGATTTTGCCTGTCTTGTAGTATAAATCGGCGAGGCGTACGAAGACTGAGGCGACAGAAGGGTGGTTGTCGCCTTTGGAGGATTTGAAGACAGTGAGTGCTTTCTGGTAGGAAAAAACGGCCTCGTCGAAGCGTGTGAGTGATGAGTAGATGTTGCCGATGCTGACATCGATTGAAGCTACCTCGGTCTCTTGACCATTGGCAATCATAGCCATGCTGGCAAGTACAAGGTGCTCCAAGGCTGATTCATAGTCTCCTTTGGCTTCGCATATGAGAGCCATCAGTCGGCGGTCAGCCGCTTCCTCGAGGGAGGCCGGTGGACTGTGCACGCGGTGGATTTCGAGAGTTTTCTTGCACAGATTGTCGGCTTCATCAAATTGCATGGCTTGGACGTGGGCCTCGGCCAAATATCTGCAATTTCGGTATCAACACAATTGTCATCAGAAGCAAGCAAAATATTAGTCGGGACTGATAGTTTGAACTTATCAGTTTCTTTACTATTTTTTTCAGTTAAACAGAAGTATCAAAAGACTCGACTTTTTTCATCTTTTACGGACAAGATGAAGTAAAAGCGTATGATATAACTACGAAATGCATAGAACAAGAATATAAGATACTATTTGTGTCGAAAACCAAAAGGTACAAAGCTAATCCTGTTGCCAGGAAAAATGTTCAAGGCTTTTAAGCCAAATGTCAAGTACCAATACCTTACCACATTCAAGAATCATATTTACTAATTAATGTAATGATATTCAGCTAAGTATTTAACAATCAAAGAGAATATTTAATCTTTTATTTAGAAATACATCAGGTACATTTCAGACTTGGGAAAATTTAAAGAAAACAACACAAGTATACCGGCAAGTTCAGGTTTTTAATTTTAACAAAACTTTGGCAGGACTTAAGATCTTGCATTACAGTAATCAGTAATGTCATATATAATAAACATATAATAAATAGTAAGTATACATGGATCACATAGAATAAGCTGCATCTTAGAAAGTAATACATGGCCCAGATTTCCTGTCCCACTAATAAATAATTTAGTTTTTAGTTAAAAGAAAAGCCCTGGCATGTAATGACTTGTTGCCATTCATGACGATTTTGAAGGCTAATTTAACAGAGACAAGAATATAACACTCAATTTCAAGAACTTAAATTTTAAATTATAAAAATAAAAATAAAAAAGCAGAATCGAATTGTACGGTGATTAATTGAATAATTATAATTAAAAAAACAAGTAAAAAGATTTACCTGCAGGTTTCTGCAACTCTTGGATCATTATCCCCCAAGGCTTCCATCTGTATCTTCAACCCTTCCTTGTAGCAATCAATCGACCGATCCAACTGTCCAAGCATGGAATGCGTGTCTCCCAACTGCATATACCCCGAGAACGCGGCCAGTGCGTGATCCGCACCTCTCGGAACCTCCGGAACCCTAATCGCCCGCTCCAGAACCGGCACCGCCTCCTCGAATTTCCCCAGGCTGCAGTAAATCGCCGCCACCACGTGCAAGCTCATCGCCAAATCCAGGCTCGGCTCGCCCTCGGCGGCGCACTTCTCGAAGCTCTTGGACGCGCGCAGTGCGTAGTCCAGTGCCTTGCTCGGGCCCTCGCCGGACGCAATCGTGTCCCTGGCCAATTTCAGCAGGAACGGGCCGAGATCCGGGTTGTCGAGCGAGGACTCGTTAATCAGCGTCTTCTCCGGCGGGGATTTCTTCTTCGCGGAGCCCCGATCCGGTGAGGGTTTGGCGCGTGAGGTTGACGGGGAAGGCGACGGCGGTCGGCGCGTGGCGGGGGAGCTCGACTTAGCTTCGGATCTGACGGTTTCCGGCCGGATCGGAGTGTGCGGCGGCTCTTCCGGTACCGCAATTCGCAGCGGCGGAGCATCCGGCGGCGTTTTAACTGATACTAAGCCCGGCATTTTCGGAGAGTGGATGCGGAAAAATGAGAGGTTGGAATCTTAATAGGTAAACAGATAAATAATTAATTAGAGGAGTTAATTATGGAGTGATATTTAATAGAAGACACCATTATCAAATGTTGCTGGTGAGGATGGTGGCTTGACTGACTGTGGAAGACAAACTGAAAGACAACGAAGAGAGAGAAAGAAGAGAGAGAGAGAGAGAGTCTACGTAAAAGATTTACAACTGGTGGCGCACTTTTTATGTGATTTCTTTATCTGAGGAATGGGTCGTTGTTTGCTGTGTGTGTATTTTTGGTGTGGAGTGTGTGGATAAGTCAATACCATTTTTTTTTTTTAGTGTGTGAGAGATTAGATACTATGTGAACTCCTGAAAAATAATTAGGAAAATCTACATTATTTTTTCTTACTATTTTTTTTTTTTTTTGCAGTAAAATATTAGACAAACATTTAATTGAATAATGGGTATATTCTATATAGGCAAACAAAATAATAGAACAACTTAATTGGTAGACAAATTATTATTGAGTTAATTCCAATTTGCACCCTTTAAATATAGCATTTCGTCACTTTGCATCCCTGGAAAAAAATTAATATAGCGTTTTGCACCCTCGGTGTACAATAAACCATTCGAATTGCACCATGGATTGAGTTTTTCAGAGTTAACTAGGCAAGTTCATCTTTTAATGGCTAATTTTTTTTTTGTTGAAATTTTTTTAACGTCCAAAGTGCAACGATAAAAAAACTACTCACTAAATTAATTTAAAGCTAGATTTTGTTCTCACAAGAAAGAAAAAAATATAATATATATTTTTTCAACATTCGATAAGTAAATCGTTTATTATAGTTTGTGAAAGTATTTGTTGGAATTATTTCTATAAACGAAAATGGCTGAAGGAGATTTTCTATAACCCGGGATTACACGATTAATATAAACATATTGAAAAATAAAATTACCATGATTGATTATATCAATTTATTTTTACCGATTTTAGTAAAAGACCTACCTCTCGGACAATTTGATGAGACAGTATTTGGAGATAATTTGTTCTGTTCTATAAAAACTAATTTTCAAGGCATTTATTGCGATTTTTCTTTTTGAAAAATGCCACTATTAAGAAGAAGTTATCTCATTAAGTTATAAAAATTCAATATAGGGTGCATTCTGAATGATTTATTGTGTTTTGAGGGCGCAAACTACTAAAAAAAATGAGTATATAAAGTGTCAAACTGCTACATTTCCCGTGTAAAGTGGAATTAAGCAATTTTATTTTAAGTTAAATAAGGATTGGCTAACCGAGAAATAAACAAAATATTATTGCATATGATTAGAATTTAGACATATAGGAAGAATAGAATAGAACCCCCATTGTGTTATGGGTTGATTACATGGAATATATATAGAGAAATATTGCAAGGTAATAGAGTTTGACTAGGTAACTAAATCCTAATTAATCTAGGTAACCGAATCATACTAGAATCCTAATATTAGGAGAGTTCTATAATATAATATTCTCTAACACGCCCCCGCAGTCGAAACGTGACGAACGTGAAGACTAGACATTCACTTGCTAGCACGCTCCCGCAGTCGGAACGAATAAACTTCAAAACGAGTAAACTTCAAACGTGAAGACTGGAAACTTCAAACGTGAAGACTGGACAGAAACCGCGAAACACATCGCTAGAGAATTCCTCTATTGAAATATCTGCCAAATTTTAAAATAATAATAATAATAATAATAAACGGGTGAGAGAAAAATAAACAACTTTTTTTTTTTTTTTTTAATCGAGATAGAGAGAAGAGATGAGAGAGGGATCGCCGGCCATGGAGAAGAAGAGAGGCAGCGGCTAGGTTTTAGGCCATGGAGAAGAAGAAGAAGAAGAAAAAGAAGAGATAGAGAAGATGCACCACCGGGGGAGGGAGAAGAAAAATCGGGTGGTGTTCATAGAAAGAAAGAAGAAAAGAAAGATATTAAGAATACCACCACCGGGGGAGGGAGAAAATTGGGTGGTCACCGCCATGGAGAAGAAAGGCGGCTAGACATTAAGAAGACATATAGAAATAAAATAAAATAATAATAAATTAATAAAAATAAATGAAGAAAAAAGAAGAAGAATAATGATTGTAGATTCGTTTCGTGAAAGGAGTGCAACCTTCCCTTTTAGCTCACAAAACGAAAAGTAATCATAGGCCTATCCTGCCAGGTCAACACTCAAACTCAATCAATGCATAAATATTTTAATTTAATCTAAAATAATATTCATTTTAATCAACAATAAGACTTACATATTTGTTATATATTCAAAATATTATTTATTGGCCCCACAAGGGATGTCTTAGAGGTTGGAACAAGTGAGTATGTGTCAATTGACTCATGTTCGAATCCTCTTGTCAATGGTCGTTAGATTGAGCTTGTCATATCTGATCAGCCTAGTGTGGTTTACATCTCTCGTATGACTTGCAAGTTATTATACGAGAGGTACCTATATGATTATTTGCGAGTGCATGATTACTCAGTGCACCTATATGATTGACTGCGTTCCTTCATACAAAAATAAATTATTTATTGCACGAAGTAGATATTGAAACGTTCATTTTAAATGCATTTTTAATTTTGGGAAATTTATAGATTATATAAAAATAGATTAAATATGAAAGATATTATATATGTTTTTCAAGGAAAGATGAGGCAATGATATATTATTGAATTGTAATACACAACCCATTGTTTTCAAGGTAACTGGCATACGCAAAGGGCCATTATTCATTATAGTAATAAACTAATAATTGTGCTCAACAATAATATTTGTCCTTTCCCTTCACGTGCTATTCCATTTATCCAACCACCAATTGGATCTTTCAAACTGCCTTTCTGTATTCAATTAGTTTTATATTTTGACAACTAATAATGTGGACAAAAAAATGTTTGGTTATTTGGGAAATGAAATTTACTAGTCATTTAGTTTATATTGTTTCAAACCCATAATATAAATGCACCTGCTGCTATCAAGTAACAAAGTGAACTCGTAAGAATCGTGGTGTCGAACCCACAAGCACAAGGAGATGATTATGGATAAACTCTTGATTGTTGTAGAAATCGCCAATAGGAAAGCTGTACGGGGAAGAAGAAAAAAATTGAAAAATTAGTTACGACGATAACATCTGAGCCAATAACCTTAGAATTGAGTGGATAATCTTGAGTAGTCGTGTAAGTCCCCATTTAGAAAATTACTATATTTACATCAAGTTGATGTAATTCCCAATTGTTGATGGCTGCTAGTGCTAGAACAAGTCTCACAGTAACTAAAATTGCTACATAAGATCAGAATGTATCAATGTAATCTACTCATTCTTGTTGTGTAAAACCTCTTGCCACTAGTCTGGCTTTGTATACGTCAGTAGTGTCATCATCTTGCTTTCTTTTTATCTTGTATGTTTATCAACTACAAGGTGAACAATACACCAAGTTTATTGTCTTCTAAAGTCTTAATCTCGAGCTGCTTGTTTATTGGAAATAAATTATCACTTCCATCAAATTTATAAGCTATCATCAGAGATATATGTAGATGTTATATGTGCGTTTCACTCTCTATCAAATATTTTAAATGCTATACAATACATTTTATCGAATGTCGTTTCGTCCACTGCCAACAGTTTATAGAATTTCGTGGAAGTCGGATATATGGCCGAATCTTCCTTGAGACGTAACTGCTCCATCATCAATGACGTGATGATATCTTGCAAGGTCAGAAATGAGTATTCGTGCATAAATCGTTTTGAGTTCCTATTCTTTATGACAATCTGAATTCCTAGCAGAGTATAATATATTCTCTATTGATATCTATCCTCTAATCCTATGATCGACAGATGGATTTTCTCCCCAACATCCCATATATTTCCATCTAGGTGATGTTAAATCAGGGTATTCAATTCAAAATCAAGGAAAACAACACACCATAGTCAAAAGCAAGAAAGAGGACTTGGGGTTGAAAGTCGAATGACCGAATTATATCTATTTACCAAAAAAATTGAATTTATTTCCAATTTTGTTGTAAAGAATTTCGAAAACAAAACATCGATAAAATTTGAAATTTTTATTATTTTCATACATTTGTAAAATAAAGAATGATATTGATACTATAAATGTAACTTTTATAAGTACATAGAGTAGTTTCGAAAATTTAAATTGAATCGAGAACTGAAATCTCATATTTCTCATAACTGATTCAAGAAACATTTTGCAAATAAATTGGAAGTGATAATTTATTTCCAATTTAGTTGTTAAGAAATTCGAAAACAATAATGAGTTTGACGTTTTGGAAATTTGAATGAAAAAACTTGACCTCGAGATTAAATTTTTTCGGCTGTTTTTTAGTCCATTTATAATATAAAATAAACAACGAGATTGATATTTGAAGTGTAACTTCTAAAATACATAATTGTTTCGAAAATTGAAATCTCGCATTTTCCGAAACTTAATCCGAAAATTTTTGAAAATTTTGGAAATCATAATTATTGAAACATGGAACAAAAATAACCAAATACCAATAAATAACCGATTTATTCCATAAATAACCAAAGAACAATAGCCAAGTCGTTAATTCTACGAGCATTTTTCATTGGTTCAACTTCAACCTCCGACCGCGAGTTGTGCTGATTTTGCCGAAGCTTTCATTACAACAAGTGTGTGCTCGTTGAATTTGCGAAATAATGAACTCGAAGAATCGACTTTGATTTTCTAAACTTGTTACCAAGAAGATTATTCAGAATTGACGGACGCTGACCCGATGTCATCTGATGCATTTTACGTGGAATGATGTGGTTATCCATAATCATTATCTCTAACAATTAACTGCAGCTCTGTAAAAAGCAAATTCAATTTAGGCTTATTAGCACTTTGAATGTAGATCCTTGACATTAGTTTATTACAAAATACTATTGCACAAAGACCAATATCTTCGGGAAACAATTAGGTGAGCGGCGATTTCTAGCAAAGGTGATTAGATTGAATTATTTACGAAGAAAAAAAAAAAAAGCCGAGCACAAGAAAGCAAGTCAAAATCCCAATTGGGAGAAGCTTTTATCTTTGCATACCTGAGAATTCAGACCAGCCATCTGCCATCCTGTAGATAAATACACGATGTACATAGTATCCCGTTAATTTTCAATTAAAAAAACGAACTGAAAAATTAGGAAAAAACTGATTAAGTTAGACCACATGCACCAATAACAGCTCGATTGCGTACGAAGATTTCATACCTCTAATATTCCTGGATTCTGCAACACAATAGAAAGAACACGGCGAACGAGCCCCTTGTACACAAGTTCATTTACTATACCATCTCCATTCATCCATGGTAAGACTAGATTAGTCAGTCTAATTGGAATACTGCTATTGAATCAGCGCTCTCAATGGTTCGCGACTCCACTGCTATTGATAAGGGCTGCTAGCCTCTTGTAAGTTGCTTCTCCCGTCCAGGATTCTCAGCATTCTTGGATTAGGCTTTACCGGGCTTCTCTCTTTAAGCTTTAAGGCAGGGCTAAGGCATTGGTTGACTTTCTTTCTATTCTAAGAGTTGGGAGCGAAGGAAGGTCTTCTTCAGTGCTTTCCTTCCCGGCGAGAAGCCCAATCTCAGGATTTGCGAACTTGAGTGTTGAAAAATGCTAAAGAATGCTTTATTAATTGTATTCTTGGATGATTACAAATGAATGCGGCTATCCCTATTTATATAAATCCATCTCCTCAAAGAACAGTGACGATCATTTTGATCTAACATCTAAGAGCATCTCCTACGATTTTCTATCAAATATATCAACATGAGGATTCTAGAAGATCCTCTAAAGACATCTACATACAAATGAGGATTCTAAAAAATCTTTTAGAATCCTCTAAAAATCTCTACACTTGGACCTGGTTGGACCATCTTCCCTTGAGCTTGCTTGATGGATCAACCTTAGCTAGCACATTGGCTCCATGATAAAATGGGCGGCCCTTGACATTCTCCCCCACCTAATTCGGCTACGTCCTCATCTGATGTCCGTGAACTGCCACAAATTTTCTTTGGGTTTCCACGTCATCTCGGATTTGGGCAATCCCTTCCACTTGATTAATTATCATCATGTGCTCGGTTGCACACCTCGTCAGCGAACGACATGTCTCCCAAACACCGCTTCCACTTCCTTGTCGTAAGACTCGATTACCACAGGTTGTGCTCAATGTGAATACCCTCAGCTTGCGGCTCCCACCCTCGTAACATGGCTTGAGCATCCTCATTTAACTAAAAAATAAACAGACTTTACTTTATTTATTGAAAAATACTATATTTTGAAATAGTGTATCCAAATCTGTTATTTTTACTCACATTTGCCATCTGGGTTAATATTCTTGTAATGAAACCCATTTGATAATCAAATCAAGCTGCACAATATATATTAAAAAAAAAAAAAAAAAAAAGCTTATTTACTTACTGTTCAAATAAAGCACAAGCAACACAGAAATTAACTTGATATGATTGATTAAACAATCCATTGATACATTTGTACTCGCTTAATTCAAGATAAAGATACATGAGCTTCAAAATAGCCATCCATTTAAAAATTTAGGAAGCCACCATTTGCCTTTCTTGTGCATACACAAAGGAATCAGACCAACCCTAATAAAATTATTTATTGAACAGAGAATATATTAATAATTAATCGGTTAAAAAGACCCTATAAATAAGCCACCACCGACAAATACTAATACACATCAAATCTTCTCACAGAATTCTTTCCTAATGTGCAGCAAGAACAGCTCCAGCAAAAGCAGCAGTAGCCGATGGAGAAGAACTCATATTCCCTCCACCATTAAAATCCGAGCCCGCCCCGAACATACTAATCGTCGAAATCTGCCTCACAAATTTTGTAAAGCTAGCCCAATTCCTCGACTCGAACAAATTCCTGTCCATTCTGACGAAATTAAAAGAAAACGAAGGATTATCCAATCCATCCGAGTAGAACTTGGACATCTTCACCACCTGCTCGAATGAGCCACCGTCCAGGTTCGTCGAACCATTCTCCCCCTCTAACGGTACATCGCATATCCTAGCTGCAAGCACAATCTGCTCGACCAAACCCTCGGGCCTACTCGAGGGATTTATCCTTCGCTTATCGGAATCCTGCATCTCGAAACACGCACAGCACACGGTGAAACCGTACCTGCCGAACATGCGTATGATGGGTGTGTACCCGTCTCTCGCCGCGGTGCTGTAGTACCCGGAAGTTAACGGGTGGGCCCCGCCCAATTTTCCGGACATGTTGACTTTTTTGCCCCTGAAAATGGTCTCTGCTTCTCTGCAGATTCTCTCTCCATGGAGAAGCAGCATACGAGAGTACCAGCCGAGGAAGAACTCTCCGTCGGGGGTATTTTCGGGATTTTGCATCGGACTGGTGGTGGTGGCGATGGGGCCCACGTTTAACCATTCGCGCATGCCTATCTCGTGGGCGCATTTGTTGAGAGATGCAAGCATGTACTGGCAAAGTTGAGTTACGGAAAAGACTATGTTATACTGAAACTGAAATGTTAAATGTTGTTTCGATTTTACCAATACTTTTTTGACTTCGAACGTGCTTTTGACCCTTTTCTAGTCTCATTTTGGCAAAATTCAAAACACGGAAATTGTAGTCCTCTCAGATAGCTTTCTAACCTAACTTGAATCAACAAGATCGGATGTCATGTGACAAAGTTATGCCTCAAGATGAGTTACATTTTGAATTTTAGATAACTCAAAACATCAAAATTGTTGGCAGTGTTCATTGATTCATGCATATATCTTTCTCATCCGACATCCAATTTTGGTGATTTAAGTTAACTTACAAAACTACAAGTTCCGTGTTTTGAGTTTTGCCAAATTCAGCCTTGAAAATTGTCAAAATCACGTTTAAAATCAAAACGATATTATTAAAACCAAAACAACATTTATCACATCCTGGATCGGAAAGAGACCGTGTTAAAGTAAAGAAAGATGTAGAAATTTGTATATATACGTACCTTATCATAGCATTGAAATTCACCGAGTTCAAGAGTTCGCCAAGCCCAAGTTAATTTATGAGTGGGGCACGAGGGATATCTTAATTCACCACCGGGACCCAATCCAACTTGGATCCCCTGTAATTAAAAAAAAAAAAAAAACCAGAAAATAAACCTTGTTAGATACCGAGAAGAACAAGAAGATGAAAAAGAAACTAAAAAGTAAACAAAAACTGGGGATTTTTTACAGTTATAATGCCGCCAAGAAATGGTCTGAAAGTGTCTCTGAAGTTCCTCATGAGATCGGAATACGCTTGGATCGGTGATCGGCCGTGCAGAATAGGAAGAACGTCGCATCCAAGAGAAATGTATTCCATATTCCTCCTCCCAAATCTATCTGCATACGATACGTCCGGATCTTTATCCATTTCTTCGAGCACCCATAGAGGGAGAGGAATCCTTAATCAATGAAACAAGGGTGAAAAACCGACCATCAGTGTCGATCGAGAGTTGTAAATGAAAAGTAAAGCACAGATATAAATTTGAAGTCTTAACCAAAAGCAAAGACACCTCCAAATTTACAACAAAGCAAATGCGATCCACTTAGCTGTAACTGTTTATTTCACATGAATTGGTTCGTATTCTGTCGTAATATATTCACCTGAATGTGTGTATTCTATTCATATGTATTAGGTACAAACGATTTAACGTTTCCCGCAATTTACGAACTTTTGGTAGCTCTAAATATCAAATTAGATTCAACCAACTCAACATTTAATAACATATAGAATCAAACAGTGCAGTTGATACGATTAAAAAAAAAATGAAATTGGAGATAGTTACCAACCAGAATGGGTCGTCGGAGCCCGACCCGAACTGATGAAAGGCCATAACGGCCCGAACTTTGAGCCCGAAACGCTTCGCCATTTCCACAATCTCCAAATAGCCTCGCCAATTGTAGCTCCTGGGGAATTCCCTCTCCACCAGCCCCCACCAGACCTCCATCACCACCCCCTCCACCCCCGCCGCGGCCAGCGCCCGGAACGACTGCGCCATGGCCCTCTTCCGGCTCATCGTCTGGGCGGTGGGGCCCACCGCGTCCGCCGGCAGCGTCACGTACACCGGGAACGCGCCCCTCCGCCGCCGCTGGCTGTTGTAATTGAGCTCGTACACCAGCTCCCCATCCGAAGAGGCGTTGAGGCGGGACGAGATTCCGGGCCGGATAGAGACCCGCTTCGACCCGGCCCGAGACGAAACCTGCTGCGACCACAAGCGGCGGTGAGTCGACTCGGAGCGAGTGGTGCAGCAGAAATTGGGAGCGGACGGGGAAGCGATCGCCATTTCAAATCAGAATTTGTGCATCTATACGCCACACAATTCAGCGTGCCCGTGTGTGTAATTTTTTTTCTTTTTTCTTTTTCCTTTTTCAATTTTTTTTTTTTTTTTGTTTTTTTCTTTTTGGAGGTGAAATTGGGATCACAACCTCACATGTTTGTACATGTTTATCAATATATATACAACGGTAAATTACGAAAAAACCCCTGAACTTAGGCTAAATAACGAAAAGTGCCCCCACCCATTCGTAACAACCAAAATCTTTCTCTGATTAACTGTTGATCAAGTTTTTTAACAGAAAATGCGTACATTTTATTTTACATTTTGTTAAATAAGTGATAAATAAAAGAAAGTATTTGAAATTGTGTAAAGTTTGTTCCTATTAATCAAACATAATATGTGAAAAGTTACACATTAAAGGATTGGTGTAAGACGGAAACAAATCTCATGGAATTTTTGGTATTTACGAATAGGTGGTGTGTTTTTCATTATTTAGCCTAAGTTTAGGGGTTTTTCATAATTTACCATATATATAATTATATAAATAAATAACTACTGTTAAAGTACAGCAAAAGCGTTGGGACATAGATGAATCTTTATTCTTTAATGAGGAGTAAAATAAAGTGAGTTTATTAAAAAATGTTTAAAATAATCTACACCACAAATTCAGAGTGACGTGCCTAAATTGTTCAAAAAGGGAATCTAGAGAAACAAAAACGGATATTGGAAAGAAAACTATATATCTATTTTAAGGTCCACTTAAGTCACTCGGACTCATCCGATGCCCATTTGCACGGGCAAAAGTTAGAAACAAAATTTTCGATTTTCGTCGGTTTCGATTTTTTCTTATTTATATTGGAACAGTTTTTCGTATTCCAGTTTTCAAAAAAAAAAAATTTATTTTCTGATTTTTTTTATAGGAATCGGAAATATATGTAGAGTTTTTGTAATTTTCGATTTCCTCTGATCTTAATTTTCGAAAAAGAAAATTCTGAATTTTCTGATTTGTTTTACTATATATAACATAGCGTAAATTACAACACCCCCGAGGTATGGTAAAATTACGAAAATCCTGCTCATGTTTGTGTAATTACATCAACCCCCCTCAACTATAAATTTTATACACGTCCAACCTTGTGGATTCAAATGTAGTTGAATCTTCTTGATTATATGGAATATTTTTAATTTTGTACCCGTTTTATCTCAATCGAGCTCCACATTTTGAAGCAAGATGATCATAAGATGTGTATTTTGACTTGTATTTATCAGATTGTGGTGCATCAGCCACTGTATTTTTATACAAAACGAGTACAAACTAAAACACATTCACGTAATCTAGTGAATTATGTTGAATTTGATACCATAAGGGTGGAGGTGTAAGAAGATTCATA